TTTTTTTTTTTTTTTTTTTTTTCTTTCTTTTGAAGTTTGGCATTAACTACCCTTTGCGTGGCTTCCTTTGGTGTGTGGTAAACCTTTGGGGCTGATCGGTGTAGTTCCCTTAATGCCATACCAAGTATTGATCATAGTGATCGAGGGGCCAAGTTTTATATCTAATCATGCTGTACCTTAGGCTTCTGAGGTACACTTGGAAACCATTTGCCTTTAAATTTGTACCAAATTTGAATTCAATAATCAACTTGCAGGAAATTAATTGAACGTGATAATCTGTAGCTTAAATTACAAGTTTAGTTAAGTTTAAATTTCCAGGGGGCTTTAATGCTTTGAGTGAAGATATTGTGTTTGAAGTTATTTAGTCACCTGTGTTAGGGATGTTTTTAGTTATGTTGGTGGTTTGTTTTCTACTGTTGTAATGCACCATTAGAAGGATTATCCATTCATAATTTAGACTATTATGTATAATTTAGCCAATCTACCTGGGGAAATGATAAGTCTTTGAGGGAGATTTCTTTTGGAATGCGATGTCGATGAAAATGCATTTCTACGGAAGTTATGATCATATCGGCATCTGAAATTGACTAGTAGACCTGAAATCAAGTCAAATCAAAGCTGACCCAAATTCGAAGAAGATAAGGGATGGCCAGTGTGCTGAAACCTACGCACATTCATCGGCATCCGCGTTCTCGTCCCATATTCGATCAGTCACAACGACATCGCAACCTCAAGCGCTCCATAGCGCAAATTGGATATCAACCGCGCCGTCAGTTCATCCGAATCACCCAGATTAAGTGCAAATATGAAGATTCTGGCAACGAACAGCCGCCTCGTTCTACTCCCACTGCCTTGCAACTCTACTCCGACATCGAGAGGTTTCCACCTTTCTTTCCCTTCTGCTGCGTTGCGGCTTCATCTTTTTTTTTCTTGGGAATTTCGTTGCTATTTCCTTGATTGTAATCAATCGGCCTGGTGAATGTTTTGCAACTTATGTTTGTTTTCTTGAATTAACTCTTGCTAGTTCAACATTTTCCCTTACTTACCTTTCAGTCCTGCTTTAATTCAATCGGGCATTGCTTAGAAATGCTTAAAAGTGCAAAATGAGAGAGTGAGCTTTGAGAGAGTACAAACGTTCAAGAAACGTTCAAGAAATGTTATGGTAGACAACACGACGACTAAGTGACATCTTATCATCCCCCAGCTAGCACACAGAGATTGGTTGTAGTATGTTGCTTATTGCATGGCGTTGTGGGTCTCAAGTCCAATTACTTTTGTAATTACTCTTTTTCAGTTTGTTGCAGTTGAATAGCTTTTTGTAATTTTCTTGGTTCCTGTTCATCTTTCTCTCGCACTTTTCAACATACATCTTAGAATAAAGTCCCTTGTTTCTTGACAATCTGATAGATAGAAGTCCTTTGTTTCTTGGCGTAGTGGGCTAACATAGGTAACCAAAGTTTGTGTTCTTGCATACCATTGCTAGGCTAAACTTTTTTCCTGTGTTTCCAGATTACTAACTGAGACAGTTAGGCAATCACAAGAGTCCTGGGGTGGTTTAAAAGACTGGACAGAAGTTGAGGTGATATACAATCGCCATATCTTTGTATTCCTTGATTTCCATGATTGATATCCATACATGTATTGGTTCATATCATCTGTGGAAAATATACTTTTAGCTTCAATCAACATATATTTTTATCAGCTAATAGCATCTAATAGAATAGAGCTGTTCATTTTTACCCCATTCTCTTCTCGTAAACTCATAAAAAGTTAATCTGCATTGTAAAATTTCAGGGAGCATGGGTTCTCAAACCACGTAACTCAACACCGAAGTACGTCGTACATTTTGTTGGGGGTGTATTTGTTGGAGCTGCACCTCAGCTTACATATCGCTTGTTTTTGGAGCGCCTTTCAGAGAAGTGAGGCTCTTGGATCTTATATATCTGTACTATACTTGGATTGTGATGGAACAGTTAACTGTGTTCCCTAGTGTTCTATTATCATACTTCCTTTCATAGTTCTTTGATCCGTACCAGGATCATATTAGATGTTTAGATGTTTAATGGACTATGAATCAGGGGTATTTTCATCATTGCAACACCCTACTCCAGTGGATTTGACTATTTCTTAATTGCGGATGAAGTGCAGTTTAAATTTGATCGGTGTCATCGGGCACTTTCCGAATCAGTGAGTTTTCTGTTCTCCATTTTTTCCCCTAAAATCTTGAAGGAAGAAGTTAATTAGTGAATTCATACAGGTTGGAGATCTTCCCATTTTTGGTATTGGCCATTCTCTGGGATCTGTCATCCACCTTTTGATTGGTATCGTATAATCTCTTTATGTCATGTCAGGAACTGATTTGGTTTGCAGCAAATCAAATGGGTTAGATTGCTAACCTATCTGTTCATCAGGATCAAGATATGCTGTTGAAAGAAGTGGAAATGTAGTAATGGCATTCAATAACAAGGTATTTTTGCCACAAATATTAAAGGAGTGACCTTCTCTCCGTTATAGAGAATTGACAAAAAGTTGTGTATTCACAGGAGGCAAGCTCAGCTGTTCCTTTGTTCTCCCCAGTGCTTGTACCAATGGCTCAAAGCATGGGGCCTCTCTTATCACAAATTGCATCATCACCCACTTTTCGTCTTGGGGTGAGACCCTTTTATGATCCTTTGTGCTGATTAATGTGCATAGTTTTTAGTTTTGAGATTAGGAAGTCTCATTTTTGTTAATAAGCACCTGCAGGCAGAGATGACAATGAAGCAATTTGAAAATCTTGGCTCTCCGATTATGAAGCAAGTTCTTCCTTTAGTTGAGCAGCTCCCTCCCTTGTACATGGACCTGGTGAGGGGAACACAAGATTTTACCCCAAACCCAGAAGAAACTCAACGACTCGTACGTCCAAAATAACGAAAACTATTTATGCTTATACTTGGTTATATAGTTTGATTGGGTGAAATAGTAAACAATGAGTTTTTAAGATGATGATATACCTGGCCTGTCTGTGGTCTGCACTTCACAATTAATGCAGAAGACACTCTTAGACTTTAGTTATAGGCTTGCACTAACTTGTTCTTGTGGAATGCTTGATCAGATAAAGTCATACTATGGCATAGCCCGAAACCTTCTCGTGAAGTTCAAGGACGATACGATCGACGAAACTTCGATGCTAGCTCAGTTGCTTAGCTCGGAGTCTGCAATAAGTTCGATGCTGGACATGTCAACTCGGTCGTTGCCTGGCAATCATGGGTTGCCCTTGCAGCAGGTCCTCCTTACTCCCTCCCTTCATCATCTCTTGCTGATTATTTGAAACTGAAGGGATGTTTTGCTGATTTAGGCCCTCCCCGACGTACCGCCAGCAATGGTGGATGCTGTAAGCAGAGGTAGTGAAGTTTTCACCAATCTAACTGCGGGGACACCTTGGGAGACCGCAGCGAAAGAAGTAGGGAACACATTTGGCATTGACTCAAAAATCCTTGGGGCTGAAGTAAGCAAGGATCTAGAGCTGCTGGTGGATGTGGTAACATCATGGATGGCCTCAAACATGGGTCCGAAACTGTTGAGGCCATGAATATTATCATGGCGTTCAGTTTAGCAGCCATCCCACATATTCAGTTCATGTCTATAATACACAAGTACTGCCATGATTCTGAATTGATGAACTTGAATTACAGTGAGTGATAATAATATTGTGTTTGAAAAGATCATATAGATGCCAATTTTCTGTAAGACAACATCTTAGATGCTACAAAATTCTTGTAGCTGAAGGCATGAGGTAACTTTTATGGGCTATGGGCTATGGGCTATTGTCGGTCTTATTTTCTAAAAGATGTTTCAAATTCATCGATCTTTAACAACTTCAGCAGTGAAATTGAACGGAAGTGCGAGAGCTATAGGATTGGTTTTCTCTGACCGACCACTGCTTTTTTTCTTATTGTAGCCTTTTTTAATTATTTGTTAGAAGTTTTTTTTTTTGTTGTTAGGGTCTTAATACTAAGAATGGAGTTCTAAATCTTTTGAATTTTATGGTTTAAAATAATTTATTAGTATGTTGTGAAATTAAAATGCTATGGAAATTACCAATATACCCTTAGAAATGAAGAAGTTAACCTATGGTACCCTTTTGAAAATGGACAATAAGTAAATAAATAAATAAATAAAGGCAATGTTGGTGTGTGGGGGTTCATTCATCTGAGTTGGAGGGCACTAACGGCGAGAGCAGCAGAAATGGCATGGAGAGGACAGCTATCCAAGAATTTGAAGGAGCTTCGGATCTTGTTCTGCCAAACCTCTCCTTCAAGCGCCCCCGCTAGGTATTCATTTTCTGCTTTCTCCTTCGCTTTGCGATCCCTTCTAAAAACAACAAATCCTGCTCCCGGAGCTTATTGTCACAAATTGTTGATTAATGGAGTTTCGGCTCTGACAGGACGTTTGTGGAAAAGAATTACAAGGACCTCAAGACTTTGAATCCCAAATTTCCTATATTGATCCGCGAATGCACTGGAGTCGAGCCGCAATTATGGGCTAGATATGGTACTTCACCCCCAATCATTTCATTTCGTTTTATTCTCTTCTCTCTAGATTTCGAGATTCATTCGGGCTTTGTTCGTCTTTGCTCCACATTCTTTTCATGTTGTTAATGATATGACGAAAAGGATTTTGCTGCTATACTGAAGCGCAATTTCATTTTGGGTTTATTTCGTCAAGCTTTGCAATTTTCTTTCTTTTCTTTTGTGAGCTGTGAAATTTGACTGGTCCTGTGGTGGTTACAATGAAGGTGACGTTTACATTCAGATTGTTTATGATTTTGTATGAATCATATTGCGTCATGTTAATGCTGTAAGTTTTTCATTTATAATCTCAGGTTTTGTAATGTTAGGTTTGCTCAATATCTATATTAATGCCCTTCGAGTATTACACTTTTATTACCTGCTTTCATTATTTTAGATGATTGATTTGTTCGCTTAACATTTTTTAAGATTTAGAATGATTTAGAACCATTAATCTTCATTGGGATGCTTTTATCTTTCCTTTGTTTTAATCAAATTTTATTATTTTTTGAGTTTATGGATTTTGTATCTTTGAGCATTAAGAAACAAGCTTGTTAAAGCACTCTCTCTGGACATTCGTTTCGTTATATGGATGCACCTAATTCGTGCCTTTTTAATGGACTACTTGGGAGGAGCACAATAGTCGGATCTTCAAAGAAAAGGGAAGTTCTTTTGATAGTTTTTTCTGAAAAAATTATCATTCTTGCAATGGCTGGGTGTCAATGCACATCTTATTTTAGCTTTTATAGCCTATGTACAAAAGGTACGGGCTACATCAGGAGTCTACTTAGAAGGTTAACCGCTGTACTAAAAGAAATTGAAGACATTCATCTATCTTTAGTTATGATCCTAAAAAATTTTGGGTCCATTCTCTCAAGGACTTGAATGTACCCAGCAACGCTACCATAATCTTCCTGTCAAATTATTATGACTCATTAGATTGTTTTGACATGGTGGACTTGAAAGGATTCATGTCCTATGTTATTTGCAAGGAAAAAATAACATGGACTCAAGAATGAGAGTTTAAAGGTCACTAAATTTGTACATCATACTCTGTGAAAGAAAAAAATTATGTCATTCTTTAAGTAATCAAAATTCTAACCGGCAATGTGATGAAGTTAGGTTTTTTTTTTCCCCACTAACATTGAATGAGCTCATATTGCCGGATGAAGTTAGGTTTTTTTTTTCCCCCACTAACATTGAATGAGCTCATTGTTATTTGTTCCCTCGTGAAGAACCACCTATCCCTTACTACATGTCTCTATTTGAAATGCCACTTTTGTCTCTATTTGAAATGCCACAAAAAGTGGTCGGAGATATAGAAAGATTATTCAGAAACTACATGTGGAAAGATGGCTCACACCTTGTTCGATGGAATATTATAAACCTCCCAACGAAAAAAGGAGGTGTGAGATCCCACGTCGGTTGGGGAAGAGAATGAAGCATTCTTTGTAAGGGTGTGGAAACCTCTTCCTAGTAGACGCGTTTTAAAAACCTCAAGGGGAAGCCGGAAAGGGAAAGCCCAAAGAGGACAATATCTGTTAGCAGTGGGCTTGGGTCGTTACAAATTGTATCAGAGCCAGACACTAGGCGATGTGCCAACGAGGAGATTGAGCCCCGAAGAGGAGTGGACATGAGGCAGTGTGCCTGCAAGGACGCTAGGCCCTGAAGAGGGATGGATAGGGGAGTCTCACATCGATTGGAGAAGGGAACGAGTGCCAGCAAGAACATTGGGTCCCAAAGGGGGTGGATTGTGAGATCCCACATCGGTTGGGGAGGAGAACGAAGCATTATTTATAATGTGTGGACACCTCTCCCTAGCAGATACGTTTTAAAAACCTTAAGGGGAAGCCCGAAAGAGAAAGCCAAAGAGGACAATATCTGCTACCGGTGGGCTTGGGCCGTTACAGGAGGCCTCGATCTTCTCTCGATAAAGAAGAAGAACAAAGCTTTCCTCGCCAAATGGATATGGAGATATCATCCTGAAGAGAAGGCCTCGTAGAGGAATCTTAAAAATGTCAAATAAACTCCTACATCAAACAAAAATCAACCCCTTCCATCTTCTACATAAGGGCCTAGAAACATCAAAACCTCATCACCGACCAAACTTGCCATAGGGTGGGTGATGGAGGAAGCACATCTTTTTGGACCAACCGATGATTGAAAACACCACGCTAGCCCTGAGGTATCCACTTTTGTATAGGCTCTCTCATAGCAAAAAAGCGACGATCAAATAAACGTGGAATGTTGTCAACAAATTTTGGGACCTGAAGCTTGGTAGGAATTTAAAGGATAATGAAGCAACGGAATGGCCGAATTAAGTCTTGACCTTGCCCCTGTGTTATTGTCAAACAAAGCAAACTCACTGATTTGACTCCCCAGTGCTGACAGGGTCTTTTCTACAAAATTTTTGAGGATGGACACAAGGGAAAAGGCAAAAGTAATATATCCCACGCTAGCAAAGACGGTATGGAAAGGACATATCTTCAAAAAAAAAAAAAAAAAAGCCTTACAGCACGCTTTCTCCAAATTGGTGTCCATTATGCAAGAAAAAAATGAATCAAAAAGCCACTTGTTTATGTAATGTACATACGCTCAGAATTTCTGGACAATAATTCACAATATATTCGGGTGACATCTCACATTTCCTAAGGAGGTAAAGGATCTATTGGATATGGTCTTAACGTACCACCCATTCAAGAATGCAAAAGCCCTACTATGGAAAAACCTCATCACGACTTTCTTTTAGAATTTGTGGAAAGAAAGAAATTAGATAATATTTGCAGAAAAGACATATACCTATAAAAACTTTTCGATAATGTTGTTTACCGAGGTATATTTTGGTGTAAACTCTCAAATATTTTTACTTTCTATAGTTATACATCCCTCATTGCAAATTAGGAAGGTCTTTTGCAAACGATATTGCGTCCCTTTTGTAAATTTCAATCATCAATTAAATTGTTTCTAATTAAAAAAAAAACTACAACTATTTATCAAAGACTTTTTATTTTATTATTTTATTATTTTTATTTTTATTATGTATCAAGAAGCGGTCAAGGATGATGTTATCATGGGTCTTGAAAGTTTGACTCATTTGAAATATCCCAGACAGCCTAGACATACTTTTTAATGATTATTTTGATGAAGAAAATAATTTTCAGGAGGAATATGGATAGATGATGAAGTTAAGTTTTCTTTGAGCTTGGATACCCTCAGATATTTTAGAACTAATCGATAAAGAATGTCAAATCTGTAGAATCATGGGGCAGCAAAGGTAAAAGTAAGACTGATGATCCATGGGGCTGGAGGAATATATAGGACGATGAAAAAAACTTCATGTGAACCTGGGGAAAATTTAGATATCGTGATTTTTCCTTTAATTTTATCAGAAATGTTAATGGTTCCTTTAAGTATCTCCCAAATTAAAGTTTTGAACTTCTATGGATTTCTATTTCTATCCATTCAAGCGTATTTGCATATGTTGGGTTTAAGGATTCCAGAATCCTCTGTGACGTTATTCAAAAGGCACTTGCAGACAAACGATCTGAGTTATAAAGCCACAACCACTTGTCTTCCACAGGCCTGACCATTGATTCAACAAGGGTATCCAGAAGAGAAATCCTTTCTTGGGCCTCCAAATCATTTAAGTTTCTTCCGAAGTTTAGGTCCAAGAAAATTTTGTGGAATCCCATAATTCACTTATAGGAAAGCGTTTGGAACAACGTTAATTCAGGAGAAAATTTCCCAGTATCTATTGTTTGCTCAATACCTGACATAATAGTTTCTCTTGAAACCAATGCCTCTTTCTGTTCGAAAGTGGCTTTCGAAGGGGCGAGCACCAATCACTTTTGGGACTCCATATTGTTTAAGCTAGTTATCAAATAAAGTTATTAATGGACTTCAATGCCTATTGAACTTCGAAATTTTAGAAGAACGTAAACGAGGCTGTAGAAGAGTGAAAATGGAAAAAGAGGAGGGCTTAAGATTTTGGTTCAAGACGGAGGTTATGAATTGATAAACAATTGTCGAGATTATCATCTGAAAATTGGAAGTGGAGGATGTGCTTTGGTTTGGCCTGATCATAGGAAATTGGTGAATGATAGTATATGTTTCTTATGAATGCTAATATCTCGCAAGTGTTTGACGTTAATAGCCATAACATTAGATAAATTCTTTTTAGAAGGATCAATAATTTGCTGAAATTTGGAGGTTATGTGATTGCAATATGCTTCTTATATGTTCGTCTTTGGTTAATGCAGCTGATTACATTTCCTTTCTCTTTTTAATTTAATAGATATGGGTGTTGAGAGGGTTGCTCGTTTAGAGGGTTTGAGCGAGGCACAGATCTCCAAGGCACTCGAAGACCTAGTTAAAGTTGGGGCATCCTGAAGGAGTAGTAATCTGCTGTGCTATTGTACTTGCAACAGACGTTAATAAATGCACGAGAGGAACTTCTGTGGAGATGCTTTTCTGTTTACATTCTATTCGCTCTTTTTTTTGTTCTTTGAGATTATTGCTCAAATACTCAGCTTGAGCAATCATGTTTCTGGGACGCATGTCTTTGTTTATATAAATAGTTTCTCCGGGAGGTATTATCAGAAGGAGATTTCTCATTTTTCCTAAAGGTGAATTTATCGCACTAGTAGTTTCCCGGAATTAGACTTGGAGGAAATTTATTTTTCTTCTTTTTCCTATGAAGGTTACGTTGTTGTTGAATGGTTGGGCAGCATTTATGCATCAGATACTGTGTTCTTATCTTCTATGTGAAATTTTTTGATGTAATATCATTTGAGTTCTGTCACCTAGTTTACAATCTAAATTGACATAAAAGTATTGCATGGTTTCTTATTCTTATGTTATGAAAAACTGGGGTGAGAAATAATTGTGGCTGGTTAAAGGCAGTTATAACTGGCTTCCTCTTTGACTTATGGAGGGAATTGAACTGGTTTTTCTTTAAGGCAGACATGGCAGGATGTGCAGAAAGAAGCAAGAGGGTTTGAAGCTCCCCCTTCAGGTTTTTCCAAAGCATAAGAAAGATGGTTGTGGTGATAGCAAAAGCAATGCTGAACTTCTGGATGAAAGTTAAGTTCTTCCACTGATTTTATTTTCATTTATTTATTTATTTATTTATTTGAGAAAGCGCGTGAGAAAATAATTATGCATGGGACCTCAATTCTTAAATAAGAATAATTTTTCCTTTTTCTCCCTTGTCGGTTCGTTTGTCCCTATCCCATCTGCTTACTAATTCTTATTCATTTATTTGCTTTACTGATTTGGATTCCTTATGGTTTCCTATGTCTCTCCACATTTATTAATACCAATTTTTTTTAACCTATACTTTGTTCATTATTGGATTCTGAAAAGTATAAATCTTTTTTTTTTTTTTAACTTCTACTCCAACTAGTTTCATCCATCCATTTATGAGATAGATTATATTCTTGAAATATAACTGGTTCTTTTTTAATATTATAATTGGAATATAAGGTTAGTAAGAGTTGAGAAACATGTGAGGAAATGAAGTGGAAGTGGTTTGTGGTGGAATTACATTCTTAGTTTCTTGAACTTCAATTTTTAGTTCCCATTTTGATTTGTCTTCAAATCTCAACCTTTGTTTGTGTATATTATTTATTTATGTCTTAAGGAATATATACATAAAAGAAGAACCCAAGGAATTGGAGCTATATCAGTTTCTTCTTCTTTATGTTTTTCATTTCCCACTATGAATATTCTTTGCTACCTTCCACAATCTTCAATCAACCACGAACACAAGTGGTTTGAAACTGGAACATTTGAAAATATCAGCTATTCCCAGTTTCAATGCACATCATATTAATTCATAGGTTTGAAAAAAATCATCTATCTTACACACACTTTTAATATTGTTTTTAAATCATTTTCTAAATTTAAATGCAACTTTTTTTTATCATAAAATTGGTTTTGAATTCGACAAAAATGATACTCCCAAACATAACCTACTATACCATCATCTAGAAGACTAAACGTTTGAATTTTGATCTTGACATCTAAAGATCTCAACATTATTTTTCTTCGTATTCATAGCGACGACAAAAACAATATATATATATATATATATATATATATATTTTGGAGGATGGGTACGTAGGCGTGAGTGTGACAATGGATGAGGGGGAAGCAAAGGCGTGTAAGTTGGGGCATCTCAAAAGCAACAACAGCGTGTATCAATGTTCAAATTGGGGCATCCCAAAGTATGCGTTTGAAATTGGAGACAACTGACAAGTAACCATATACAGCATATGATGGGCCACCGAGCTTCTTTCAAACACGTTTCACTCTTCTTCTTCATTCTAAAAAAGTCTTTGATTTTATTACCCAATACCACCCAATACCATCTTAACGGTATAAATAGTCTTAAAAATCGGTGTTGATTTATGAAGCTAGAATTCACTTTTAGGAATAGTTCAAGTTAAAGAAAGTAATTCACTTTTAGGAATAGTTCAAGTTAAAGAAAGTAATCTATTTAGGTGGTAGAAAAATGTTGAAACTATTAAATACGAAGGAGTGTTATAATTTAAAGATTATGTGATGGATATAGATTTATTTAGAAAGGAGCACATGGGCGACGTAAATAAAATAATTAGGACGACAAATGAGATGTTTGAGGAATGGAAAATTAGGAGGATAGATGCATGTGAAGTGAAGGAAAAAGGGAAAAAAAAGAAGAATAAAATAGGGAGAGGTGCATGAAAAACTTGGAAGGCATGAGATAAGTGGCGGTAGATTATTTGTATTGTAGCGGCGAGAGGTTAGTGGGTTGGGTGGATGGATATCATAAACAATCTTAATTAATATCAATTTATAAGCGATAAGGCGCTGAAAAGGGCACCCAAAATGCAAATCCAATGCCCTCCCTCCCCTTACGCCTCTCCGTACATACACCAGTTGATATTAAAAAAGGGTAAAGAAAGGCATGGATCTTGCCAATGCCAATGAACATGAACTCTCTTCCCTTTTTCTTCCAACTTTCTTTTTGTTTTAAATAATGGGTTGCTTTAGGGTCTAGAAGCCTATGAAATTATATAATTGTTTCGTTGAAACCAGGGGTTGGAGTTATATCAACAATCTTGCCCTTTCCATCCTCTTAAATCATGTAATCTTCAAGGCCGTCGGCCGCCATAATGACCTCATTCTTATTTTAAAGAATTTGGGTTGGAAAATGCATACACGTACAATCGTGACTAAGATTATAATGGAACCTGACTCGAAGTGCATCACTTTTATACGCAACATTTTCATGCATACAAACTTTCATACATGTAACCTACATGCATGCATTGCTTTCATGCAAGAACATGTTTAACCTTTCATGACTTTTATGAACACATACATGTATAATAAGGTATCACACGTAGAAATTTCTCGTATTGCACAACCACATGTAGCATACATCGCCTCAATCACGTATCCCATGACTTTATTAGTACTTAACTGAATATAGGTCTTTCATTTCCAACTAACAATCAACTCCTAATGTAAGAGACCAAAGCTTGTATTTAATTGTCGCAGTTTTTCAAATTCTCAATCAATTACTAAAGAGGAAGAATTCCAACCAATCAAGAATTGTCGATCCCACATCAATTGGAGAAGGGAATGAAACATTGGTTATAAGAGTATATGGAAATCTCTCCCTAGTAGACGTAGACACGTTTTTTAAAATTATGAGGCCGATGACAATATGTAACAGGCCAAATCGTATAATATTTGCTAGCGGTATGTTTATGTTGTTACGAATGGTGTTAGAGCCAGATATTGGGTGCTGAGCCAGCAAGGATATTAGGCCCCATATGGGTTGATTCATTCATTATAAGTGTGTAGAAACTTCTTCCTTCCTAGTAGATGCGTTCTAAAACTATGAGATTAGTGACAATACGCAACGAACTAAAGCGGACAATATTTAGTAGCAGTGAATTAAGGTCGTTACATCACCAATATAGAAGGCATATAACTAGATGATGATTTGACCGGAACACAAATAATAAATGTACGATTACAAAGGAATTAAATGGTTTAANCAATGGATGAGGGGGAAGCAAAGGCGTGTAAGTTGGGGCATCTCAAAAGCAACAACAGCGTGTATCAATGTTCAAATTGGGGCATCCCAAAGTATGCGTTTGAAATTGGAGACAACTGACAAGTAACCATATACAGCATATGATGGGCCACCGAGCTTCTTTCAAACACGTTTCACTCTTCTTCTTCATTCTAAAAAAGTCTTTGATTTTATTACCCAATACCACCCAATACCATCTTAACGGTATAAATAGTCTTAAAAATCGGTGTTGATTTATGAAGCTAGAATTCACTTTTAGGAATAGTTCAAGTTAAAGAAAGTAATTCACTTTTAGGAATAGTTCAAGTTAAAGAAAGTAATCTATTTAGGTGGTAGAAAAATGTTGAAACTATTAAATACGAAGGAGTGTTATAATTTAAAGATTATGTGATGGATATAGATTTATTTAGAAAGGAGCACATGGGCGACGTAAATAAAATAATTAGGACGACAAATGAGATGTTTGAGGAATGGAAAATTAGGAGGATAGATGCATGTGAAGTGAAGGAAAAAGGGAAAAAAAAGAAGAATAAAATAGGGAGAGGTGCATGAAAAACTTGGAAGGCATGAGATAAGTGGCGGTAGATTATTTGTATTGTAGCGGCGAGAGGTTAGTGGGTTGGGTGGATGGATATCATAAACAATCTTAATTAATATCAATTTATAAGCGATAAGGCGCTGAAAAGGGCACCCAAAATGCAAATCCAATGCCCTCCCTCCCCTTACGCCTCTCCGTACATACACCAGTTGATATTAAAAAAGGGTAAAGAAAGGCATGGATCTTGCCAATGCCAATGAACATGAACTCTCTTCCCTTTTTCTTCCAACTTTCTTTTTGTTTTAAATAATGGGTTGCTTTAGGGTCTAGAAGCCTATGAAATTATATAATTGTTTCGTTGAAACCAGGGGTTGGAGTTATATCAACAATCTTGCCCTTTCCATCCTCTTAAATCATGTAATCTTCAAGGCCGTCGGCCGCCATAATGACCTCATTCTTATTTTAAAGAATTTGGGTTGGAAAATGCATACACGTACAATCGTGACTAAGATTATAATGGAACCTGACTCGAAGTGCATCACTTTTATACGCAACATTTTCATGCATACAAACTTTCATACATGTAACCTACATGCATGCATTGCTTTCATGCAAGAACATGTTTAACCTTTCATGACTTTTATGAACACATACATGTATAATAAGGTATCACACGTAGAAATTTCTCGTATTGCACAACCACATGTAGCATACATCGCCTCAATCACGTATCCCATGACTTTATTAGTACTTAACTGAATATAGGTCTTTCATTTCCAACTAACAATCAACTCCTAATGTAAGAGACCAAAGCTTGTATTTAATTGTCGCAGTTTTTCAAATTCTCAATCAATTACTAAAGAGGAAGAATTCCAACCAATCAAGAATTGTCGATCCCACATCAATTGGAGAAGGGAATGAAACATTGGTTATAAGAGTATATGGAAATCTCTCCCTAGTAGACGTAGACACGTTTTTTAAAATTATGAGGCCGATGACAATATGTAACAGGCCAAATCGTATAATATTTGCTAGCGGTATGTTTATGTTGTTACGAATGGTGTTAGAGCCAGATATTGGGTGCTGAGCCAGCAAGGATATTAGGCCCCATATGGGTTGATTCATTCATTATAAGTGTGTAGAAACTTCTTCCTTCCTAGTAGATGCGTTCTAAAACTATGAGATTAGTGACAATACGCAACGAACTAAAGCGGACAATATTTAGTAGCAGTGAATTAAGGTCGTTACATCACCAATATAGAAGGCATATAACTAGATGATGATTTGACCGGAACACAAATAATAAATGTACGATTACAAAGGAATTAAATGGTTTAAGAAAGATTTAAGTTAAAAATATATAAGATTCATCCATGTTATGTGTTTATATAATACTCCATCAATAATTGTGTCCATAGATGAGAAAAGAGGGCACATGTAATGTAATAGATTTAGGTGGAGAAAAATAAAAAAAGAATCAATTACGTAATTCATCCCAATATACTTCAATTATTTGTCTTCTTTTAAATTTCTCAATTAAAAAAATTCAAAAAGTGAACTTTTTTAAATTTATTGTAATAAATTCCTTTTTGAAGAGACGCTTTTAACCCTCCACAAAACTTAAAACCAATGGAATGGATTTGTGTTTGGCGGTTTGTGTCGGATATAATTTTGAATCAATTGGGGGGAGGCGCCGTTTCCAGCGCCAGATGGTGAAGCCAACAAAAATAACCGGCGAATCAGGAAACGCCACGTCGGTTCTATATATTTATGACAAACGTCTTGTTGGAAGGTCTTGGGTGAGGGGTCAGTTATGGATTTTGGCCCTGTTTCTGTCACGTGATCCCCACGCGCCTTACATAATCATCATTAATCTTTGATCTCTTTTACTAAACCCTCCTTTAATTGTGGGTTTACTAACATAAATACAGAAGAAGAATCTGATCTCATCTAAAAACTCCAAAAAAAAATTTAAAAAGAAAAAAAGAAAAAAAAAAGAATGCTGTTCGATAAAAAAGGAGAAGAAGATTTGTATTATATATTTTTGGTTGTGGTTTCTGGGTTGGTTGGTTCTCTCTCGCATTCAGTTTGGTTGGAACTATAAATAAGCAACTTGGAAGCTTAGGGTCCAATGGAAGTTGTTGAGAGAGAGAGAAAGAGAGGGAGAGAGAGATAAAGGGGAAGCATAGTGTTTTCCCCAAACTGGGAATCAACGGCTTTCCTTCTCTCTAAATCAATCAATCAATCAATCAATCTCTGCATCTCCCTCTTCTTCATCGTCTTCAGTGACTCAGAGTCGTATGGTGTTGTGTTGTAATGGCGGGCCGTAAAGACATGGGCAACTACGAGCCTATCAAAGGAGCCGACGACTGTGATCTCCCCAATGACACTGCTATTCTCATTAATCCCGATTCCCTCACTCTCATCTCGCTCTCCAAGCGCTCTAATCCCACTGATGAAGATGTTGAGATGGCTCTTCGTGATTCCCATTCCACATCTCCTCTTCCTCTTCACAATGCCACTTCTCTCACTCCTGCCGTTTCCTCCAAAATCGACGACCCTCAATTTTCCTCCTCTGCTTCGACCCTTCACCATCGCCACCGTCTTGTTTCGCTCGATGTATTTCGCGGCATCACTGTTGCGGTAATCACTTTCGATTCTTTCTTTTTTTCTTCCATGATTGCTTGAGTTCTACTTCTTTGTTATTCTAGGGTGTTCTTCGTTGTTTGGCCATTGGGATCTCTCCAAGGAAAGAACAAGGGTCTCATTGTGGACTTGTTTTACTATTTTGTATATATATTTTTTTTTTATTTTTTTAATATCTGGATTTGACTTGCCCAAGTTTACTGGGCGTCGGTGGAGATTGGATGAAATAATATCTATTTGACTTTCTAAAATTGAAGTATTAAGTGGAGGGGTTTCAGTTTTTAGCAAACTCCTCTCGCCAGTATTAATCGCGCAGCTTTGATCCTCGAATGATGGTATGAGCTCCTTCACTTGGGGGCGATTTTCAGGGGAAGGGATCCAACCTAATTTTGACCATCTTCCGAATTTTTAGTTGTAGAAAATAAATAACTTTTGTTACCATTATTTCAAGCTATCCTCCCTCCTGATTTGTTTTCGAATAAAAACATACAATTTTCTGCAATCTGTCACCATCCATTTTAAATAAACAAAGGATGCTGATTAGGGAAGCATAGTTTGGTAGTGCAGAAACAGGGGTGGCCATTAAATGGGTTTAGAGATAATATTTTACGGAACCGCGTGGAGTGAAGCCTATCTTGTCTCTATAGGACATGCATGATAGAAAACTGTGCAAGACGACGCTGCAAGCTTCATGGTCATACTGGTCGTCGTTAATGGCCACCGGTTTAAAAGGTGCTTGAAGAAGAAGAAGAAGAAGAACCCTTCTTTCTCGTGTGTTTTCTTTCAGGATTTGCCCTGAAGAAAACATGACAAAACACTGCCTTGCGGCAACTTTACTCTTTTAGGCACCCATGTTAGATGTGGACACGCACTGATCTCGTTGCATCTTTTGACCCGTTCCTTTGATTTGATCTTTCACCAGTTTCTGCTTAGGTGTAGGTGTCGAGCAACATCTTTCTGGTGCTTTCAATTACTTTAGCAATTGTGGGTTTCCGACTGGGCAAGGTTTCGTTTTATCGAATTGGTTATTGTCCAAGGTTGCGTCGAGGACTGACATGTTTGGATGCTTTACATGTCACCATGCCCAACTATATGGGGCGCTTGATAGTATTTTTTTTGGGATTCTGTGGAAGGAAATGGTTGGTTGTCAATTTGAAATAGCGTATAGGGAAGGCTACCAATTTATGGCTGACTCCACAAAGTTAGTAACACTAGTGCCTGAAGTTTTGACAGGGAGGATCCATCAAAATTTTACCTTCTAATTAAGTATATAATGTTATAATAGTTCCTTCTCTCTCACAAAAGTGGAAGTTAAGAAGATCTGGGGTTGGACGTAGTAACTGACGTTTTTTTTGTTGAGAAATATATTAATTCTTTGTAGTTGTTAGCAAAGCTTCAAACCGGAGATTGTGATGAACACATTAAATTAATAGATTAAGTTCAACAAGTTGGCGTTGTTTTTAATTATGTCTGTTGAATGATGCATGACAGTGCTCAATGGGAAAGAAAATAAAGTAATACGCTTCCTTGTTATGGTCTCCTTTTCCGGTTTATAGAGATTAATGCTGACGATGATTTGATGCTTTTCCTTGCAATATGTAGCTCTGAAATGATATTCATAGATCATAATGAGTGCCTTTTTATGTTGTATAATGCATGGCCAGAGACTACAGAAGACAGATTCAATATATTAATTGTAGACATCCAAGGGCTCAACCTCAGTTCAAACAGAAGGGAATTAATTGTTTCATTTCATCCTTATTTGTTTGCAGCTAATGATAGTGGTGGACTATGCTGGTGGGGTTATGCCTGCAATAAATCATTCACCATGGAATGGGTTAACACTGGCAGATCTTGTGATGCCATTTTTCCTTTTCATTGTTGGAGTTTCACTTGCCCTTGCTTACAAGGTAGTCCTTTATTCTTTGCCCTTTAAATTTCTACAATCAATTTTGAATGATTTAGAGTTCTGTAGGGGTCAGGCAACCCACTGCTATGACCTTCCATTATTCCAACTACTTTTTACCCCCTCAAATGGTCAAATTTAGTAGATTATTATTGTTTTTCCTTTTCCCCCAAGTGAAGAAGCTTATTTTTATTTCCCTTCCCCTGTTCCCTAGAAAATTCCAAGCCGAGGCATTGCAACTCAGAAGGCTGTGTTACGGACGTTGAAGCTTCTGTTCTTAGGCCTCTTTCTTCAAGGTAATATTCCAGAAATATAAGATTTATGGCTTTCTCCTCTGCAAAGTTTGAGGAAATTTAAAAGTTATTGAACAAGAGATTGTTTTAAATATCAAATGAGACTATTTTGTGAGGTCTATTCTGAAAAAATAATCTTCTCTGTTCAGGTGGGTTTTTCCATGGCCTAAACACTTTAACTTATGGAGTGGATATACAGCAAATTAGATGGATGGGTATCTTACAGGTCATTTCTTCCCTTTACATTGATTATGTACCTTTAAATTCTTCAATTCTTTACTGTTTGACTATCTACTCTTTTTAGTCATTTCATTTGTAGTTTTCTTTTTAGTCATTTGATTGATAGTTTTCTTTTTATTCCCTCCCTACAGAGAATTGCAATAGCATATTTTCTTGCAGCACTGTGTGAGATATGGCTAAAGGGCAGTGATTATGTGAATTCAGAAACTGCATTGCGGAGAAAGTATCAATTACAGCTGTAAGATTCTTGTAGTCGTTTCCCTTAACTTTTTCCTCTTTCTTCAATCATAAAGTTAAAGAAACTCAGCTTGTAGTTGATCAACTTCCTTTCATCAGGATTGTGGCCGTCATCCTCACCACGTTATATCTTGTCCTGTTATATGGAATGTACGTTCCTGATTGGGAGTATCAAGTTTCAAGTCAAACTGTCTCCCATGTGGCTTCTCCAAACATATTTTCTGTATGCATTGATTGCTCCTTTGAATCATATTACTTTAATTCAGGGTTCAGAAGATCAGAATAGTTATGATTGTTTGCTGAATGACTGTTTCACTAAATACCCAATTTCAGGTGAAATGTGGCACACGCGGTGACACTGGACCAGCCTGCAATGCTGTGGGAATGATAGATCGTAAGATATTTGGTATTCAACATCTGTATAAAAGACCTATTTATGCACGGTCTAAGGTAAATATTTGAGGACACTATTATTTACTCTAAAGGAGTGGGCTTCTCCTGAAAATTCATGCATCTTTTTTCGTCTGTTCTCAGCAATGCAGCATTAATTCACCAGACAATGGTCCATTGCCTCCTGATGCTCCTTCCTGGTGTCAAGCTCCTTTTGATCCCGAAGGGCTTTTAAGGTATCCATGTTTCTTCTGATTCTATAAACACTCATAACAATGTATCGTTTATGTGCGAAGGAAACAATTTTCAGTTTGTTTGTTATTCTTATTGTATGTCGTTGCATTTTGCAGCACAGTGATGGCTGTTGTAACCTGCTTGGTTGGCTTACATTATGGGCACATCATTGTCCATTTCAAAGTGAGTGACACTCTTTACATTGTAAAATTTCTTTGCGGAAATCAACGATTTCTTATCCATCAACAAACTATTTGCAGGATCACCGAGATAGAATGCTTCATTGGATCATCCCCTCATCGTGTCTGATTGTGCTGGCCATTGGCTTAGACTTCTTAGGTGAGTGAGATTTGGCTAAATGAGGTTGAAGGGAGGACTTGTAGTAACTCAAAACTCATTTGCAGGGATGCATATAAATAAGGTTCTTTATACGGTTAGTTACATGAGTGTCACTGCTGGTGCAGCCGGTCTTCTCTTCACCGGGATATACTTGATGGTATAAATCCACATCCTTCTGTGATCTCTACTTGATGGTATAAACCGGTCATCTCTTCACCGGGATATACTCGATATGGACATGCACGGTTATTGATTGGCTGTGTGCAGGTTGATGTGTACAGATGGAGGCGCATGACTGTGGTGATGGAGTGGATGGGAAAGCATGCATTGGTTATATACACACTCGCAGCCTGCAATGTGCTGCCTGTGGTTATCCAAGGCTTCTATTGGGGGCAGCCTCAGAACAACATCGTAAGTTTGCTTCTGGTTCTGAAAATGACACAATCTAATCCCCATTATTAATTAAAGTGTGATTGATTCTGAGATGCTATATATTATTATGCCATGCCATTGCCAGCTGAGGCTAATTGGAATTCCAACGTGAAAGTGGTGTTGTGGAGAAAGATAGAGATGTGTTTTGAGAGTCCAAATGCTCTGCTCTGATACAAAGGTCTGTCCATCCTTTGGAATATATATATATTTATAGGTAAGCCCCCATGATGATGTATGATATCCATTGGGGTTGATTGGTATTTTCTATTGAAAAAGAGGAAGGAATAATAGTATAGAGGGATGTATATGGCTGCTGGTTCGATCACTCGTTCAGCTCGTCCGGAAGTGGAGATTAGTTTAGTTTTTAGTTTAGTTTAGTTGTGTAAAATATTTAGAAGGCATGGAATGGAAGTTATAGATTATTTGGTTGAAAACTGGGTGGCATCTTTAGAAGAGATGATGGAATTGATGATGAGCTTATTGTTTCCTCCTCGATGTATGCAGCAAAGTTATACAATGATGAGATGATATCATTGATTGATTGATTGATTGATTGAATGGATGATATTCTCTTCTACTTTTCCATCTCTTTCTTTCTAATATTTTGGTAGACGTGAGGGAGCCTTTTCAACAACCTGCTTTATTACCCCCAAAAAGTTACTCAAACTCCAAGAATCCGATTCAAATATCTTCTTAGAACTTTGTTGATAGTGAGTGAAGGGGAAGTGGTGGATGGATATGAGCATATACCTAAATAAGAAGTGGGTGGGATTATGAGTTCATGTATCCTGGCCGCGTATACGGGGGAGGCTTCAAAAGCATTAAATGAAGGAGACCAAGTATTGGAAATTGGAGAATCACGTTGGATGTGGCTGAAGGTTTGGGTTTGAGGCCGCCGGCGTCTCCTTCTGTAACCGCCGCTCCCTTCCAAGCAAAAAGTAAAAGATGGCTGCTTCTGTGTGTCTAACCTACCAACCCCTCCTCTCTGTTGAAATGAAGTTCAACGCGGTGCGCCTTTGTTGACCAAAATGGCTGAACCTCTTCCTTGGCGTTTGTGTGATGTCACAAACGACGCATCCCCATTTCCCTCAACTAACCCCACTTGACTTTTAGGACCCTCACCCCCCAAACTTCTTTGTTTCTTGATGTCTCACCTTCTAACACATATGATGCTTGAAGTAGCGCCAAGATTACGAGCATGATCACAGTAGGGAGCATCCATTTTAAGTAATCAACTGGAATCAATGCTACACATCAGATCATCTCTACCACACAAACCAAAACACTGAATACTATCAACTTGTGACCAACTCAACCCAACCTTAAATAAAATTTATATTTACTTGAAAATTAAACTATTCTCCCAAGTTTGGTACCCAACTGATTCTATCATGACATAATATTTATGAACTCATGATCTTCCCCTCAATTAGACAATATATCTAGCTGAGCATGGATAGAGATTCGCTATGGGCTAGTGGCACATGTAGGTAGAGGCATTCGTGCTCCTCTTCACAAGATTAGCTCTAGCGTACACGCGCATGTTGAGTGCATCTGAGTTCTAAGGCATGGCCATGCATGTGTAGCCTAGTTGTCTAAATTCTCATTTCATAGGCTTTACTTGAACCGTCTCAACATTGCCATTTCTTTTGTGAGAATTCCCTTATTTGAAGAGTATACAAAAATTTAAGTTGATAGGTTATGGTAAATTTTTGTAGAGTGATTAATACTATATGATGCCCATACGGCATTAGGTCGACTTTGACTTACTCTTCCATTAGAATTCATGTTTAGGCTTTCTAGAACTAACATTTATTGCATTTTTTGTCATCATACTTTTCTCATTGCAATGTTCTAAAGTGTTTTTGGAAAAAGAATATGATGAATTCATTAAAAAAAAAAAAGGAAACCAGCTTACCGTGTCCAACCCAAGTCTAGCTTTCAAATTTTGAGTCTATATCTCGAGTTACAGGTTAAATATCTCCTACGCATTCCCAATTCTTCTTAATACGAATCTTGTTTTAAGGACCAAAGGGTAATTTAACCAAAAAAAAAACATACAATTATTTAGAGCATTTAGAGAGAGAGAGAGAGAGAGAGATGGGCAGTTGGGATTTTGCGAAATAATTTAGGTTGAAAGTCAATAATGTTTTATTTTGGTATATTCAAATAGCAAATAATAAAGTTGAGAAACTTGAATATGCCCAAAAAGTTAAAAACCATCCAGCTTCCAAGCACTTTCCAGCTCTCATTCTAACTCCCATTCCGACTGGTCAACCGCTCTCTTCTCTTCTTCTTCTTCTTCTTCTTCTTCTTCTTCTCCTCCTTCTTCCTCCATTCCCACTTGCATACATATATATATATATATACACATACATATACATATAAACTTCCATTTCATCCCTCCCTTCTTCTTCTGCTTCTCCTTCTTCTTTCCCACATTCCCAATTTCTCTCTTCACAACAATCCCTGTATCTGCTTCTTCAATACCATCCCAAATGAGACCTCACGAACCTTACTCCGACACTGACAGCGTCGGCAGCGTTACACGCGGCGACCGTAGAGCCTTCAGCGGCCCCATTTCATCCACCACCACCACCAAGCCAAAGAAGAACGCCAAATTCGACCTCTCTTCTGCTTCTTCCTCCACCAACGCCGCCGATGACGACGAAACCTATGTCGAAATCACCCTCGACATTCGCGATGACTCCGTCGCCGTCCACAGCGTCCACACCGCCGGTGCCGGCCAGGATTCCAACTCCCTTGAAGACCCTGAACTTTCCCTTCTCGCCAAACGAACTCTGGAGAAGAAATCTTCCTCCTTTCGGGCTTCTCTTCTCCGCTCCACCTCTTCCCGTTTCAAACAGGTCTCTCAGGAGCTCAAACGATTCACCTCCCTCACCCGCCGGACCTCCACTCGTCGCTTCGACCGGACCAAGTCAGCCGCCACACATGCTCTCAAGGGGCTCAAGTTCATCGCCGCCAAGACCGGTGGTGGTGGGGCCTCCGCCGGTTGGGGTCCGGTCGAGAAGCGGTTCGATGAACTCACCGCCTCCACGAACGGTCTCCTCCCCTCCTCCTTGTTCGGGGAGTGTATTGGTGAGTTATGGTTCGATTGATTCTGTTTCCAATTCCCAAAACAAAACAGAGGAGGAGACTTATTTATTTCTTCTTTAATTTGTAGGAATGAACAAAGACTCCAAAGAATTTGCCGGAGAGCTGTTCCGTGCACTTGCTCGTAGGCGTAACATTACTAGTGATTCCATCAACAAAGCTGAACTCAAAGAGTTCTGGGATCAGATCTCCGATGACAGCTTCGATTCCAGGCTTCAAACGTTCTTCGACATGTAACAACCATCTCACCATTAACAAATTATTTATCCACTTTTCCCACATCAATTAAATTAAATTAATTCACTTCGACTCTGCAGGGTAGATACGGACGCAGATGGAAGAATCACAGAAGAAGAAGTGGAAGAGGTACCCAATCATCTACCAAACTTGCATTAGTTCAATATCCCAACGTGTCTAAATTTGAACTTGAATTTGTAGATTATTAGCATGAGCGCTTCTGCAAACAAGCTTTCTACCATTCAAAAACAAGCAAAGGAATACGCGGCCTTGATCATGGAAGAGTTGGACCCTGGGAATGCAGGCTACATCATGATACACAATTTGGAGACTCTGTTGTTGCAAGCTCCGAATCAATCGGTGAGGGTGAGTGACAGCCGAGTTCTGAGCCAGTTACTGAGCCAAAAGCTGAAGCCCACAAACGAGACCAACCCCATCCAAAGGGCGTACGAGAAGTTCCAGTACTTCGTGGAGGACAATTGGCAGAGGATTTGGGTGATTTTGCTGTGGCTCGGCATCTGTGGTGGTCTCTTCGCTTACAAATTCATCCAATACCGCCACAGGGCCGTGTTTAATGTCATGGGCTACTGCGTTTCCATTGCCAAAGGAGGAGCCGAGACTCTCAAGTTCAACATGGCCCTCATTCTGCTCCCTGTTTGTCGAAACACCATCACTTGGCTTCGCAACAAAACCAAACTAGGGGTTGTCGTCCCCTTCGACGACAATCTCAACTTCCACAAGGTAAAATCACCATCACTTTCAACCATTTTGACACACACACACTATTCAAAACCACAACTAATTTTGTGCTGGTTTTATTGTTTAGGTTATAGCCGTGGGAATTACAGTGGGAGTGGGATTACACGGACTCGCGCATTTAACATGCGATTTTCCTCGGCTTCTTCACGCGACGGAGGAAGAATACGAGCCAATGAAGCGGTTCTTTGGAGAGGAGCAACCGCAAAACTACTGGTGGTTTTTGAAGGGAGTTGCGGGAGTTACGGGGATTATAATGGTGGTGCTAATGGCCATAGCTTTCACGCTCGCCACTCCATGGTTTAGAAGAAACAAACTGAATGTACCCAAACCCCTCAAAAGGCTCACCGGGTTCAATGCCTTCTGGTACTCCCACCACCTCTTCGTCATCGTCTACGTCCTCCTCGTCGTCCACGGCATCTACCTCTACCTCACCAAGGAATGGTACAAAAAGACGGTAAGCTTGCAACTTTCATAAACTGTGTGTTAGGAATCACTGTGCCCCATTCAGTGTGTAATAGGCTAATAGGTATTACATTTGTATGAATGTACAGACATGGATGTATTTGGCGATACCTGTTGTCCTTTACGGGTGCGAGAGGTTGATAAGAGCATTCAGATCGAGTATCAAGCCAGTGAAGATCCTTAAGGTAAGTTGGCGATACCCATTATTTTGTTGATGCGGTTAGATTGATTCAAGTAATAAATGGGAAATTTTGATAAATGAAGGTGGCTGTTTATCCCGGAAACGTTCTGGCACTGCACGTCTCAAAGCCACATGGATTCAAATACAAGAGTGGACAGTACATGTTTGTTAACTGCCGAGACGTATCCCCCTTCGAGTGGTAACTAAACCAACTTCAACAACATAATAATTGATTGAATGTGCTCATCAGAATCCCAATAATATTTTGAACTAAGCGGTTGATTTTGAATTCAGGCATCCGTTTTCAATAACTTCAGCTCCCGAAGATGATTACTTGAGTGTCCACATTCGGACACTGGGAGATTGGACAAGGCAGCTCAAGAATGTTTTCTCGGAGGTCTGTCAGCCTCCTCAAGCTGGAAAGAGTGGACTTCTTAGAGCCGAGTTCATGCAAGGAGGAGCTCCTAACCCCAAGTAAGATATCATCATTTTTTTTTAAAAAAAAACTTAACCTATAAAGATGATAAGGATGAACCCACCAAAATAAAAGTGTAATTATGATTGGGTTGACTTTTGATTGTAATGAGAATAATATAATTGAATGTGGTCAGATTCCCAAAAATATTGATCGACGGTCCATATGGAGCACCAGCACAAGACTACAAGAAATATGACGTGGTATTGCTAGTGGGACTAGGAATTGGAGCGACGCCTATGGTGAGCATAGTGAAGGACATAATTGACAACATAGAGGAGAAAGAGGCAGAAGCGAACGCAGTAGAGAGCGGGCAAGGGCACAGCAGGCGAGGCGGGAGCAAGCACGGGAAAGGGTTCAAGACCCGGAAGGCATACTTCTATTGGGTGACGCGAGAGCAAGGGTCATTCGAATGGTTCAAAGGGATAATGAACGAAGTGGCAGAAATGGACGAGAGGGGAGTGATCGAGCTTCACAACTATTGCACGAGCGTGTACGAAGAAGGGGATGCTCGGTCGGCTCTGATAGCAATGCTTCAGTCGTTGCACCACGCGAAGAGCGGGGTGGATGTGGTGTCGGGAACTCGAGTGAAGTCTCATTTTGCGAAGCCTAATTGGCGGCAAGTGTACAAGAGGATTACCCTTCAGCACCCGGACACTCGCGTTGGGGTGTTCTATTGTGGGGCACCCGCACTGACCAAGGAGCTGAAGCAATTGGCATTGGATTTCTCTCGGAAAACATCCACTAAGTTCGAGTTCCATAAAGAAAACTTCTAGAGTGGAGTTTTGATGGAAGAAGGTGAAAGGTTTTTGGTGCGCACTTAGGAACCCACTCCACCACCGAGGCCATTAATTACACGCCCATTACCATAGCTTACACGCCCATTACCAATAGCCGCCGCGTTTATTCATATTCTTCTTCTTTCCTTCTTTAATTTCTTGCAAAACTTGTATCTTAGTTCTGTCATATTTTTTTGCCAATTATATATACACACACCAAGTAAATATGTAGCAAGAAACCTAGATGGGATTTTACTTCTTCATTATTTCTCTTTCAAACAATAATTACAGTCTTTTTGTTCTAAATATTTATGTTATCTAAAATAGATCGTTTGTGTTATTGAAATATTAATTGTGGCATTAGGGATAATGGGCCATAAATGATTACCAAAAATATTGGGGGTAATTTAATTAATGAGGAGAAACGTTGGTGGGATATGATTAAATATATTAAGAAATGATAATTAAAATTTTGAACGAAAAAGGAGTGTGGCCACATGGGAATGGGATGACCCCCCAAAATGGAAGGGGTCAATGTTAGGTATATTGCAACTATAAAAGAGAGTTGAATTTTTTCTAAATATATATATATATATTATACCTAAGTGCTTTTGTATATGTTGAGGATTGATCCGACCTTGACTAATTAAGTATGATTATAGATTTACAAACAAAAAATACATCTCTAATATAAAGTCTTCTAAAAAAATTAAATGCAAAATCATGAGAATCTCTGTTCAAAATAAACAATATCATACTATTATAGAGATGCCTAATTCCTAATATTATATTTACTTTACGAGACAAAATTAGAATATGGTAAATGTGGGAACAACAACTAAATAAAATGAAAGTCAAAGTCAAAGTCAAAAAAATACATTGCATTTATACAGTTGAAGGTGGGGTAGGTGGTTTTGTTCCAAGTCAACTTTCGTAACCTACACGGTTTATTAATTACTTTCTTCTGTGTGTGTTCCATTTTTGTACTATTAAACCTTATTTGTAATGGCCAATTCTTTAACTATCAACCCCTTTTTCTATTTCTTTTTCTTTTTTGTTTTTTTTAAATTTTATTATTATCATTCAACTTCTTCTTTTGGTGTTTCTCTTTGAAATTACAAATACAAACAAGGTTTATGCATGCGTAATTTCACGCATAATTTAATTTTACTCGACCTAACTAAAGGCACACCAAAATGAATGAACAAAATGTGGAGATTTGTTCATGCTTAGTTCCCTTTCCTCGGCACTCTAAACAACAATACGAGTGGAAAAGAAACAGAGGTAGAAAGAAAGGTCGAAAGGACGAGAGATTTGCACTAAACATTTTTCTTTGCTCCCTCTCAACTTGGAGATTATGTCTTGTGTTGTATCACTGATGAAGATTATAATAAAACCTCCGGGACTCATAAATCAAAAGCCGAAAATGTGGCATCAATCTAATAATCTCTTAAGAAAGAAAAGAAAAGGTATGACTACAGTACTTTGGTTTTAGATGGGTCAACAGTAGAGGAACTTTCAGGCACTGCGAGTCCAGTAGAGTACTTTTTAATCCTCCAGGAAATAAGAATGCTGGATCCAATACCAAGTACAGGAAAAATGTACGACCATATCTGAGATTTCTGAGACCCAGAGGCTGAAGCAACTGCAGCACCAGCGAGACTGCCAATTGACGTATTCTGAAGTATCATTGGCAAGCATCCCATCACAGTTGGCACCAGAAAATCTAAAAAGAACCCCACTTTGGTTGCTGCAAGAGCATAATTTATAACGTATGAGGGAATTGGTGAAAATCGAGCAAGAAGGACAAATTTCCAACCATCTTGCTCTACTCCTCTACAAAGAAGATGGAAGTATTTATTCCTCTGGGCCCACTCCATAGCTGAACTTGAATTCCTAAAAAGTAACCTGAACAAAACATGACCTTGGATTGAGATGTTGGATAATAGAAATTCATAACACCAGACACTTCAAACATTTCAGGACATGTTTCTAGATGGGGCAACAACTTATAAATTAAGTATATAAAGCAATGCACTTCTCAAACTGCCTTCCAACTCATATTTTTTCATCACATCATAAAATTCCTCTGTTTTCTGCTAAACTTGAAAAAGAGTGCCTTTTTTTCCCCTCAAGGTGGGTCGGATATAAGCACCAACTTGCAGGTAAGGAATTCACTGCTCTTCAGCATCCATTCAAGGAAGCTCGCCACAGAAAAGCTCATCAATGGAGGGAGTCCTGTCTTTTCAAAGATCAGTGGTTCCCCTGCCTCTAAAATCCGTGTTTTTAGGTCTCTTTCAAAGGAAACGAATCCTTGGTAGCTGCTGGACAAGGCTATTTGGAAGTCTAAAATTCCAAGATCGGTTGGACACTAGCAACAAAGAGTGGAAAATGTTTCCTCACTATATTTTGTCCATAAGTTTGTGCTCCTTTCATAAAATATCATTAGATGACTAGACTCGCCTCTACTTTCATGGCTCCTTTGAAGCTACAAGTTGGGGGAAGTTATTTAATCAATTTAACCTCCATGGGTACTCCTCTAAAATGAGGGAGGTAGTAAAATGAGGGAGGTATAACTATAGGAAGTAAAAATATTAGACAGCTTACACCAAGATATAGTTTGGTAAACAATATTGTCGAAGAGTTCTGTATAAGTTTGTGTTTTTTTCTTTCCACATGTTCCAAAAGAAAGGTTTTTCCATAATAGGGCTTTTGCATTCTTGGATGAGTGGTACATTAAGGCCATGTCCAATAGATCCTTTACCTCCCTAGGAAATGTGAGATGTCATCCGAATACGTTAAGAATCGTTGTCCAAAAATTCTGAGCGTTTGTGCATTGCATAAATAAGTGGCTTTGTGATCCATTTTCTTTCCTTAATGGACACCAATATGGAGGAAGAGTAAATGTAAGACATTCTTTTTTGAAGATTTTTGCTTGTGCTAATTGGGCTTTATGTGCTATTTCCCAAAGGAAAATTTTCACCTATTTAGGGTGATGTCCTTCGTATTGTCTTTGCTAACGTGAGATTTATTGCTTCTACTTTCCCCCATGTCCATCATCAAGGATTTTGTAGAGAAGACCCCGTCAGCGCTAGGGAGCTAAGTGAGTAAGTCTGCTTCGTTTGACAATACCACTGGAGCAAGTTCAAGGCTTAATTCGGCCCATTCCGTTGCTTCATATCCTTTAAATTCTTACCACAGTTCAAGTCCCAAAATTCGTTAACAACAATCCATGTTTCTTTGATCGTGGCTTTTTTGCTATGAGAGAGCCTGTACAAAAGTGGATACGGCAAGACTAGCATGGGGTTTTCAATCCATGGGTCGGTCCAAAATGATGTGCTTCCTCATCACTCACCAATGAGGTTTTAATGTTCCTTTACGTACTTCCAAGGCCCTTTTGCAGATGATGGAAGGGTTGATTTTTGACTGATATATGAGTATATTTAGCCTTTATAAGATTTCTCCGTAAGACATTTTCTTGATGATGATATCTCAATATCCATTTTGCGAGGAGAGTGTTGTTCCTCTTCTTTATCGAGAAAAGACCGAGGCCTCCCTTTTCTATTGAGAGGTTCATAAAATTTCATCGAACAAGGTGTCAGCCATCTTTCCACAAATAGTTTCTAAATAATCTTTCTATATCCGAAGTCACTTTTTGTAGCATTTCGAATAGAGAAATGCATTAAGTGGGGAGGTTGGATAATGTGGTTTGTATTAGGGTGAGTCTTCCCTTCCTAGATCAAGCAAAGATTCTTTGTATAATGCTATCATGAGTTACCTTGGAGGTTGTGGTTTTAAAGAAATTAAAGGGTGTTTAAAGATGTGACTTGAGGGGCCTAGTTATATACTTATTCTCTAATTGGTGCACTTTATCCACTTTTGTACAGTTTGTTTAGTCAATACAGAGTAGAATTCTCATAAAAAAAAACTATACTAATGAAAAGTTTCTGTTTCTGTTTCAAAATAATATAAAAACTATAAAGTCGTGGCATATGATTTCCCCTACCACGCCACAGCCCGAATCATACACAAGCTTTCTACCTTCATTATTTACCAAACAGAACAGCTTACAACAAATAGTAAGCACCAGCTATTCTCTCAACAATGTGGAACACAAGAAATTCAACAAAACTTCAATCCTTTCACTTTCTATATAGACTAAAAACGCCAATCAACTTCTATCCTCAAATACAGCATCAGGGAAAAATAATCCATTTCAGGGAATCCAACGTAAAATTGTAAGATAAGACATATAAAATCCCCAATCAACAAACATATCTAAAACTACAGCAACAAAATTCCGAACTTAATTCCATACCATGAACACACAATTTCACATCACAAAACGTCGGAAGCCTTGCATAATCTCAGTATTGAATAAGAGGAAATCAGACAAGAAAAAGGAAATGTTAGAACAAACCTGCCGATCCAGAAGGAAAGGGAAGCCCCAAGCACCTTGGCACAGAAAACGCAAATCACGGCGGGGAAGAAGCCGAAGAGCAAAGAAGCAGTGGCCTCAAAGAATACGGCGTAGGGCAAACAGAGAGCAAGTGTGAAGGTATGGATGCCGACATACGCAGGCATGGCCCATATCCCCAATCGATCGGACCATTGGTCGAACACCTTGAGAGCCGCTTCTCTGTCAATTTCCCATCCGTATCGCTTCCCTAACTCTCTCAAAATCGCCAGCACCGCCACTACGGCGGCTAATTTGAACCACCGTCCCCACCCAGATCCCATCTTCCTGGAGATTTGATTCCGGTTAAAAACCGTTCAGGGCGGAGACTACCACCGACCACAAATGATTGTGTTGGATGGACCGTAATATTCCACACATATACAATCAATTTTTTTTAGTAAAAAACTTACACTGCGATTTTACAAAATTTCGATAAGGTAAAACGCCTTGTATGCCTAAGTTGGTTTTAAATGAAAACAATGTGCATTCCAAGAAAAAAAAAAGAAAATCTGAACTGTCACATCCATGTTTAGGACGAATGCATTCTCAAAATCCTAAAATGATATTTTAATGGACGAATGCATTCTCAAAATCCTAAAATGATATTTTAAGACTCTTATACATTTTTGTGAGATATCACCTTGGTTGAAAAAGAGAATCAAAGGAGAAGATAGTACTTAAATCCCTTCCTAATAGACATGGACAATATCTATCCAATATCTATCAGCTTGGACTTAGACTTTTAAATAAAAAAATAATAAATATTAATGAAGAGAATGAGTGGATTATGGATGAATGGATTTGGGATTAGAAGAGAAATGAAATGGATTTGGTCTGAAGTTTTGTTGAACCAAAAAGACGCCATTTTTGACATCTTACCAAACGCCCCACTCTGTAATTGTACCTTTTACGAGTTAAACACCTCAGCACACACAGTCGGAGTCAAACCTCGTGCGCTTTCTCTTCAACAAAACAAGTCCCAAATCCTGACTGTTACCAACAACTTTGACCCGCCTCTCCATTCTTCCCTTCCCTTATCATAAATATATTGAATCAACCTCTCATTGGTTCATTCATTCATTCCAACATGCCTTCCTGCCCTCGTTTCCATCTCCCCCATCACAACAACATCAACCTCATTCTCCCCGACGGCCATGTTCGAATCTACCTCCGCCCCATCCGCGTCTCTGACGTCTTGCTCGACTTCCCTTTTCATCTCATCTGCCGAGCCGACTCCTTCTACATCGGCCACAAGATCCCTCCTCTTTCCCCCCACCACCACCTCCAGCTCGGCCATAACTACTTCCTCCTCCCCAACCATTTTTTCCACTCCGTTCTCTCCTTCCTCACCGTCGCTTCCTTTTTCTCCTCTTCCACCAACAACAAAATCCACACCCCCTTCGACATCCAACGGACCCCCTCCGGCTGCCTTCGAATCCATCTCTCCGACGACTTCATTTCCGGATTGCTCCAACAGGGCAACCCCAAACTCCAAGAGCCACTCGGCAGAATCTGCACCACGCCGCAATTGGCTAAGGACTACACCCGCCTCGTATACAGGCGCCAATGGAAGCCAAAGCTGGAGACCATTCGGGAGGGTGAAAAGAAAGGGAGTTCGCCGTTTCGCTTCAACAAGGGCAACCCATTTCCGTCTCTTTTAAAGCCGCCGCTGAACCCTGCCGCGGCGTTGGCGTGGACCAGATCCGCCTACCCCTTCCACCTTGCTTATAAGACTAAGATTCGCATCAAATGGAGGGCTTAATTATCTGCATTGGAAATCAGTTTTTGGTAGATTAGTCATACCCACAACACATGTGCATAATATAATATCATACAATATAACACACCCAATTGAGAATCCAATTTGTTCTTCTGAAACCCCATCCAATTCCTTTTTACGGAGCTTTTGCTGTTCTTAATCTGTGGTTAAATTAATCATTAATCACCACAAATTCCTGGACTTACTTATCCAAACATTGCTTTGATTTATCCTAAACTTTAATCTCTTTTTCAACAAAATTGGCATGTCCGATTAACATGCTTAAATGTTTGTATATGTTAATACATTAAATTGAGAATTATGTGAAAGATTAGGGACATTATTCAGCCTACACTATCACTATCTCTAAAGTTATTTGTAATTACATATAACATCCTAGTTTAGTAGGTAATTACTTGGATGACATAGCAAATCAAATATTATATTAATTAAGTTTCCATATTGACTCTCCTACGTGGGATGTGAAACTTTGAAACTCTACGAAAGAAGGAGACTCGTTAATGGGGTTTGAATAAATGTTTGTTCAATTTTGACCCTATTTATAATATATTTCTTACTTCTTAAGATTAAGACGGACTGCTTTTATTCAAAAAAAAAAAAAAAAAAAAAAAAAAAAAAAAAAAAAAAAAAAAAAAAAAAAAA